AACGAAAGTTAAACCAAGAAATATCGCAAGCGAACTATGGTAGAAAWAATGTAAGTCTTACGGCAGAAATAGGGAAAGTATTATGGAAGAAATAGGCAAAGTATTACGGAAGAAATAACGTAAGATGAACAGCTGAACAAAATAAGCTCATTTTTTTCTATAATTTCCAGTGCCTTCACTAGCTTCAAACACGAGAAAAACCAACGTTTACGTAATTAATTACGGGAGACCAATAGATGATCAGTAAGTGTTGTCYTTTCATTATTTTCACTAACGCCTTCAATTAGCCTAAAACACTAGATAAAACCAACGTTTACGCAATTAATTACGGTAGATTGCCAGCTGAACAATACGTGTCACTCTACTATTACCATTAATTGTAGTCTAAAAAACTAGATTAACCAACGTTTACGCATTTAATTACGGTGGATTTCCAGCTGAACTATACGTGTTATTATACTATTATTTTCCAGCGCAAGCTTCAAACATAAGATAAACCAAATTTACGTAATTAATTACGAAGGACTAACAGCTGATCAACATTAATTAACGTAAAACAGTTCTTTGACTCCGTTAGTAAAACTACACAAGATACTCTAACGCTTTACGTAATACATTACGGGTTGAAAACAACAATTGACGTAAGTAATGTCCGTAATTACCAGCCTACGCACAATCACCTGCGTGCCACGCGGCTATCGTAAAGCACGACAMATTGATACAYCATCTGAAAAGCCGGACGAAGCGGCGTAATTGCGTCGTATCAGTATTTGCGTTAAGATTTGTGAAGTCAAAAACACTCGAAAATTGAAATCGTTTACGTAATGATCTGGGGCGTACGAGAGCGCGAGGCGGGTCATTGAAATCAAACTTAAGCACTTAATAATTTGTGTTTAATGTACTAAATTAGGTTTGGCAAGCATTTCCGTACAGATGGATCCCTTTCTTACAGTTACGTAAGAGTTGTTGGCGTTGGCATTTTTTTCTTGAAGCTGAAGAACTCATTTCAAAACAAGTCACATCATAGCTTGTGAAGAAATGCCTTCCCTTAAAGGGCCATKGTCCACCAGCATTCAATCATTGAATTGGCGGTCGTGTTTTAGATTTATCATATTCGCAATCCGTTTCCATCCGTCGGCTTTATAGCGTTGAATCTTACAATATCTCCATTCATAGAGCATAAAGGGATAATAAAAAGAAAGTTTTTGCTTATATTAAAACGATGTATTTTATTTCCAAAAATAGACGAAAAGCTCCAAAGGCAGGCTGGTGTACTCATTGCCATTTTATAAAACTTGTTCTATTCTATTTCATTTTTTGTGCAATTCCATTCCATTCCACTTCTATTCTGTCATTTTTCTATATTTACCGATAAGATTCAACAGCAAACATGCGAASCTTTCGAGGATACAATCACGGAAACCGAGTAAGATTAATAAGGTGAAAGGAAATCAAGTTAAGATGAAATCTTTGTTTATTGCGTTGTTTAGGCAGAATACACGAAACGCCGAGATAATTTTTTATTTTAAAGCGTAKCACTCGAACCTGAGTGTGATTGTTTTACTATTCACAAGAAAACATAAAAGTCTTGTATGGATTTATCGACTGAAATGTTGGATTARTGACAATCGTCGTGCCGAAAAGGAAATGAATTTTTATTTTTTGAAAGGCTTAACAAAGTCTACTTAAAAGTTTTGATTTTCTTTTATTATAGAGTGATGTTATTAAACCGATGAAACAAAACTCGACTATTAATGTGTGATAGTCAAATAGACACAAAAGAAAACAATGCCTGAATTAGAGCGTACCAAGGTCGTCTTCAGTGGTGTAATCTATATTTCACGGGATTTTCAGAATTCACGATTCAGTACAATTTAGCTAACGTTTTTCACGGTTTGCAGTGTTTGCAATATTGCACTCCGGATAATTGCCAATAATATAAATTCCTATTATAGCCGACATTTGTTAGGCTTAAGTCCTAGCCGACATTTGTTAGGCTTAGGTCCTAGCCGGCATTTGTTAGGCTTAGGTCCTAGCCGGCATTTGTTAGGCTTAAGTCCTAGCCGGCATTTGTTAGGCTTAAGTCCTAGCCGGCATTTGTTAGGCTTAAGTCCTAGCCGGCATTTGTTAGGCTTAAGTCCTAGCCGGCATTTGTTAGGCTTAAGTCCTAGCCGGCATTTGTTAGGCTTAAGTCCTAGCCGGCATTTGTTAGGCTTAAGTCCTAGCCGGCATTTGTTAGGCTTAAGTCCTAGCCGGCATTTGTTAGGCTTAAGTCCTANACTGAAATGTTGGATTAATGACAATCGTCGTGCCGAAAAGGAAATGAATTTTTATTTTTTGAAAGGCTTAACAAAGTCTACTTAAAAGTTTTGATTTTCTTTTATTATAGAGTGATGTTATTAAACCGATGAAACAAAACTCGACTATTAATGTGTGATAGTCAAATAGACACAAAAGAAAACAATGCCTGAATTAGAGCGTACCAAGGTCGTCTTCAGTGGTGTAATCTATATTTCACGGGATTTTCAGAATTCACGATTCAGTACAATTTAGCTAACGTTTTTCACGGTTTGCAGTGTTTGCAATATTGCACTCCGGATAATTGCCAATAATATAAATTCCTATTATAGCCGACATTTGTTAGGCTTAAGTCCTAGCCGACATTTGTTAGGCTTAGGTCCTAGCCGGCATTTGTTAGGCTTAGGTCCTAGCCGGCATTTGTTAGGCTTAAGTCCTAGCCGGCATTTGTTAGGCTTAAGTCCTAGCCGGCATTTGTTAGGCTTAAGTCCTAGCCGGCATTTGTTAGGCTTAAGTCCTAGCCGGCATTTGTTAGGCTTAAGTCCTAGCCGGCATTTGTTAGGCTTAAGTCCTAGCCGGCATTTGTTAGGCTTAAGTCCTAGCCGGCATTTGTTAGGCTTAGGTCCTAGCCGGCATTTGTTAGGCTTAGGTCCTAGCCGACATTTGTTAGGCTTACGTCCTAGTCGCCAAGTTGTTACGTTACGCCCTAGTCGCCATGTTTTTACCTTAAATCCTAGTCGCCAAGTTGTTACGTTATACGTCCTTGTCGCCAAGTTGTTACGTTATACGTCCTTGTCGCCATTTGTCACGTTACGTTATTTTCTCTTTCGATTTTTGGTTTGGTTATGTGGTCGTGAAACTAAAATTATACTGGTTTTGTTGAGTGACATGAACAAAAGATATCAAAAAATACTTCGTCAATGAATCGCCAACAGAGCCACCTTAACATCAAATTAGAAAACTAATTTCTATTGCTATTAAATGTGAAAAATGTCCATTGCTATCGCCACACTGTCATTTTGAACATAGTCAATATTTGTTAGCCTTAAACGTCAGTTTTTCCTTTCTCTTGACATTCACAAACTATTTTTGTCATCACTGAACGTGCAAATGCTCATTCTCGCTCATTATTGGGTTAAACTGTGGTCGAACCTTTTAGTCTAAAAGTCATCGCTTATCTGAACAMGACTTGAAGGAATTCGAGGATATTACAAGAATGATTTGTGATGGTCTGTCATCGATAGCCGAGATTTGAGTATTTTTTTACGTAATGCATTATCAATAAGAGTACAATTGAAAAACAATCTTCAATTTGTTTAATGCATGTACTTTATGGAACTTGACTCGCGTATGTTTATCAAAGACTTAAGTAACGACTTTAACGTCGCTACATTACTATTGCTGTGCCAGAAAGCACGTCTTCTGGAAAGCCATTCAAAATCTCACTGAAAATAGTGTTTAGGAAGCAAACTGACATGAATTTCWGTTTCATTGAAAGAAAAGTGAATATTCCCGACGTTGAGCACAAGAATTGTCAGCGTTTACCAAAATACAGAAATAATGAAAAGAAAAATAAATGAATCGGACTTATTTAAAAAAAACATCAAAACTTTCATCTCATTTTCCGCAGACCTAAATCTATCCTTCCATTATTTTTTTTGCTGAGTTGGTCGCCCCCACTGGTTACCATGGTAATTTTAATAAATATTTTAAAATATTGCAAAAAATGTACTGAATTTTGCGAATTCCTTTGTTTTCTATTGCTAATCTACAATATATTGCAATATATTTAGCTCTATTTACTAAGAACCTTTACACTCYATATCATACTATCATAATAATACATATACAAAGCTAAACAAACACATGAAAACCCAATCTCGTACCCAGAGCCCGCACTTTTGCCATCCAGCGGATGTCAATGCGTGAGAGACTTTCCGGCGTCAGCATACCGCTGACATTAGCCGAGAAGACTCTGGGCTCGAGATTGATGAAAACCTCACCAGTTTATTGGTATGATGTCCCGGATGAACGGAGCGAGCAAGCGGAAGACTGGGTGCGAAGGAGAGAGGTTACGATGCGTTGCCACAGCAACAGCTTCAGTGAAAAAGTGCGTGAACCCTGCAAAGGAAGGAAAACACCCACTTAAAATTGGGAATACGTTTTGGCAGGTCCTTTTTTAGAAGGAGCTCTTTTACCTAGCAGAGAGCATGCCCTGTGGTATTGAGCCTCAGCTAGATTGTACCACATCTTGGCGAGTGTCCATGTGTACCAAGGGTCGCTCGGAAGAAACACCTTGAAAAAACGTAGAGATTTTGTCATTCTCTTTTGCAAGATTGTAATATATTGTACTTTGTTGTTGCCTTGTGTAGTGTCGTGTGTTGTGGTGTAGTGATGTATGGTATAGTGTAGCGTAGCATAATGTGTTGTGATGTGGTGTTGTCTAGTTTATTTTGGTGTATAATGTGCTGTGCTATAGCGTAGTTCAGTTTAGTGTAGTGTAGCATAATCTGTTTTGATGTGATGTTGCGTTGTGTAGTGATGTGTGCTGTAGTGTAGTGTGGTGTGGTGTGGTGTAGTATGCTGTAGTGTAGTGTGGTTTGGTGTGGTGTAGTAATGTATGGCGTAGTGTAGCGTAGCGTAATGTATTGTGGTGCATTGTAGTATGTTTCAGCGCAGTGTGTTGTAGTGCAAAGTAGAAGCAGTGTAGTGTGCTGTAGTGTAGTGTGGTGTGGTGTGGTGTAGTAATGTATGGCGTAGTGTAGTGTAGCGTAATGTATTGTGGTGTATTGTAGTATGTTTTAGTGCAGTGTGTTGTAGTGCAAAGTAGTGTAGTGTGCTGTAGTGTAGTGTGGTTTGGTGTGGTGTAGTGATGT